GGGACGGCTCCGGCCAAGAGAAGCACCGGCTCGTGGTGGTCGGCGGGGGTTGCGTGGGCAAGTCGGCGCTCACCATCCAGTTCATCCAGTCCTATTCTGTAACGGATTCTGATCCAACCATTGAGGACTCCTACACAAAGCAGTACGTGATTGATGACCGGGCAGCCCGGCTAGATATTCTAGATACAGCAGGACAAGAGGAGTTTGGAGTTATGAGAGAACAGTATATGAGAACTGGAGAAGGTTTCCTGTTAGTCTTTTCAGTCACAGATAGAGGCAGTTTTGAAGAAATCTGTAAGTTTCAAAGACAGATTCTCAGAGTAAAGGATCGTGATGAGTTTCCAATGACTTTAATTGGTAATAAAGCAGATCTGGATCATCAAAAACGGGTAACACAGGAAGAAGGACAGCAGTTAGCAGGACAGCTTAAGGTAACATACATGGAGGCGTCAGCAAAGATTAGGATGAATGTAGATCAAGCTTTCCATGAACTTGTCTGGGTTATAAGGAAATTTCAAGAGCAGGAATGTCCTCCTTCACCAGAACCAACACAGAAAGAAAAAGACAAGAAAGGCTGCCATTGTGTCATTTTCTAAGAATCCTTTGAAGCTTAGCTACCAACTGCCAGGAAAAGCCCTCGACTTCTCCTCTCCTTAATGGTTTATGTCACTTTGGTACCTTTCTAGCCTTTGACAAATGATCGCCATGGTAGCCTTAGACCAAGAAGCTGGCTAATCCTTTCCCTGAAGCTCATCCTATGGTCATTTCAAGACAGATTTAAAGGAAACACTAAGGCTGCTTCAAAGATACATGATTCCTTTAAAAAATATATCTATATACACAGACACATTCTTTTTTAAGGGCTTTCTTTTATTAGGGATGAATCAGTTTTGGAACCTAAGCTGTTTGCCAAGTTGGAGTCAGAGGCTGTGAAATTACTTTTAACATCTGGAATCATATTGCCTACTGTTACTCTATATAGAAACATAGGGAGTTTTTTTCAAATGTGAATTTTTGCCTGTCTCTAAAAATTTTGATGTCAACTTTAGTTAACCTTAAATACACTGAATTGAATCCATAAAAGCGAGACATCTCAGACCTTTACTGATGCTACAGCCTTTGTTTTCCAGTGGCCAAAATAAGAAAATGCCTATTGTATTTATAGGTTTAAAACTGCGTGTAAATCCTTTACTATTTCTCCTATTCTTAAAGATAATATTCTATGTGGCCAAATATTTGGACTCATTCTGGACTTAAGCATTTCAGTGTTCTTGGTTTTTTAATTTAACTCTTTTCACAGCCATGTTGAGAGTGAAAATAAATAATTTCTGTATGTCTTCCTTTTCAAGTATTTCTGGATAAGGGATTCAAAAAACTAAAACTGTTTTTGTTTGTAATATAAAATATGGAATTGATCTTTCCAGGGTCAGAGATGATTAATGTTTTTGCTATATACTTTTACACATTATTTTCTTATCAAACTAGTTAACAAGTATTTTTATATGTTTGTAAGCAAATATGCTTTCACAGCATAACTTGTGTATATGTAAAGATAAGTATTTAATTCTCACTGTTCACTTTTAACTGACAAAGAAAACAAAGTGAAAAATTACAGAAACTGTGGTAGAACCTTACTTGCTGTCCTGGTCCTGGTTGTACCCACCTTTGACTAGTCACATAGCTACACAAGAAACCTTCCTGAAAGAGTAAAACAGGATGACACTGAACTCACTTCTGATGTTCCCTACTGGATTTTGGCTGTTCTAGCAAGTAGTCAGTGGTAAACCTTTTAATTGACAATTACTATAACTATGGATGGCTTCTGTTTTTAATTCTGTGGATTGTGTTTAAACAATTCAAAAATATGTTCCTAATTTTGAGATACTGAGTGGTATTGCACAGTTGTCACTTTACTGAACGTGTACAACAGTCCCATGAAGTCTACAAGGCTTACCCTTGTATAGCTTCTGGTGCTAGAATTAAAATTGATCTGTTATCTCACACACACACACACACACACACACAAAAGGCATTTAGAATGCTTGTAGTCACGAAGTTAATAAGCCTCTAGGTATCCATACCCCAGGTGGAAAAGTAAAATCAAAAGACAGAACAGTGAAATGAGAACATAGCAGAAATGGATGCCATGCAAATATCAACAAGGAGACAGATTATCATTAGGGTGAAATCAGCCAATAGATATGAAAGTGCTTTAAAACTGCTCCTTTCTAATACTCTATGAGCTGCTTAGCAAGTGATCCAAACAGGTTTGCAGCACTCTGGGTCAAACACTTCCCTTACCTACAGAACTGTTCGGCGGATGAGCTGAGAGAACCTCTATGATCATACCCAATGAGAGTTTTTGTGACTGGTGATGCCATGTGAACACAGCTTATTCATATTATTACAGCACACTATGGAGTCCACAATTTTGAAAAGATTGAATCAAGCCTTGAAAATTGGTAGGATTTTGGCACGTTGAGGTGGAGATGAGAATGTGTTGCAGGAGAAGAAAAATGAATCAGATAAAGAGAGATCAGGGAAATACAAGGAATGTTTTAGAAATCTTGAGTGTAACTTTTAGCTGGCATAGGGAGAGTGTGAGCACTGGTGAGTGATAAGCCAGCAGGTGGCAGTGGTTGGAGTGCTGCCCTAAACCCTGTATTTGTCTTTTAGTCAGCTCTTACATAAATTCTTTTGTAAGTTATTTTTCTGACTTTATTATTTATTTATTTATTTATTAACTTTTTGAGTTTGGAATGACTCAGCTGATAGTTTTTGTTCAGAATTTCTCATGCAGTTTCAGTCCTTTCAGGACCCAGTTTTTTGTGTCATCTCAAAGGATTCCTAACTGTTATGCTTGGCCTGGGAAGTCTTGAGCAGCTGGGAGCTGAAACAGTGGATGTTCCTCAGGTGTCTGCCTCTTCTTTGTGTGTTTGCTTCAGCACAGCAGTTTCAGGGAAGATTTTTCTCACTTTAATAGCAGAATTAACAATGACTTCTTTGTCACTTTTGTATAGATTACTAAATGTCTATCTAATTCTTTTTCATTGAGTATAGGTTTTAAATGAAATATTTTAGGCATCCTAAAAGAGAATTACATTAGGTAACAATAAAATGAATACTCATGCACCCATAGCTCAGCGTAAATAAAATTGTTTGTTCTAGCTCTGGGGAAAATTCGAGTATTTTGACAGGGGTTGCATTAGATCTGTAGATTGCTTTGGGTACTCTGGCCATTTTGATAATGTTGATTCTTCCAGTCCAAGAGCACAAGATATCTTTCCGTTTCTTTGTATCGTCTTCAATATTCACAGTTTTCGGAGTATAGGTAACCTTCTTGGTTAAGTTTATTTCTAGGTATTTTATTGTTTTTGAGGCAATGGAAATGTTTATGCCAATTATAAAATTCTGGTTTTTGAAGTGAAAAGAAAAACAAAAGTGAATGAAGGGCTGCAAATGGCAAAATATCCTTCCTTCTTATGGGTGAATTGTACTCTCTCTCTCTCTATATATATATATATATAGAGAGAGAGAGAGAGAGTATCTTCTTTACTCATTCATCTATTGATGTGAATTTGGGATGCATCCATATCTGGGCAATTATAAAGGATGTTATTGTTAATAGCAAGGTATATGTATCTTTTTGAATTAATTCTTATTCTGTGCTTGGCTTTATTCCTTTAATAACCATGTAAGTTTAAAAACCCAAGCTGTAAACATTCTTAGAAACAATGAACAGAACATATATGTAAATTTAAAAAGTATATTGTGTATATGTATTTACATGTAATATATTTATATGCAGTCAAATTGTAAGAATTCTACTTAATAAAACCGAAAAATTAAAAATGAAAAATCAAAGGAGAAATAACAAGTGTTCTAAAATCTGTCTGAAGACTCTGAAGATATTACTTTAAGTAATAATCCTAAATGTAAAAGAGATAAATACATTAAAATATTTCAAACTTTATAAAAGCCCCAAAGTGAGAATTAGTCAAGTGTTCAGTAAGAGGGGCATGGTTATGATGAGATGTTCACTGGTTGGAATTTTATGTAACCAGTGAAGTTCTATATGCAAATAGTAAAAGCTTATATAAGCTATTCTTAGCTCATTATGTGAATTATCTCATTTAATCCTCAAAACAGCTCTATGAGTTAGGTGTTATTGTCCTCATGATTATTTCTTCCCATTTATAGATGAGAAAAATGAGCAAAGTGGTGTTAAGTAGCTCACCTGTGATCACCCTACCCTAGGATATAAACTCAAGCCATAAAGAAAGCCTTTTTTTTTTCAAAAATTAAAATAAAATTTTTATTGAAGTTTAGTCAGTTTACAATGTTGTGTCAATTTCTGGTGTACAGCATAATATTTCAGTCACACATATACATACATATATTCCTTTTCAGATTCTTTTTCATTATGGGTTACTAGAAGATACTGAATATAGTTCCCTGTGCTATACAGAAGAAACTCATTTATTTATTTTATGTATAGTAGTTTGTATCTGCAAATCTTGAACTCCCAATGTATCTCTTCCCACCCCTTTCCCGCACCCCTTACCCAACTGTAAGTTTGTCTTCTATGTCTGTGGGTCTGTTTCTGTTTTGTGTATAAGTTCATTTGTGTCTTTTTTTTTTTTTAAGATTCCACATATGAGTGATATCATATGGTATTTTTCTGAGAACCTTTGTTTTTACAGTAAATATGCTTAAAGCGAAAGCAAACAAAAAGTCTCTCTCACAGGGAAATAAAAGACCAGAAAGAAATATTCCAAAAATGGTGTATGGATGACAGAACCATGGTTGACATGTTTTCCAAATTCTCACCTATATATCTATATAATTGAGAATGTTGGTTTCTATAGTAAAGCCTAGCTAATTATTTCAACTTTCAACTAGTTGGTTCTCCACTGATAAAGAAACTGCCCTTCCCCATACTTCTTCGTCTCATCTCTAGCCTTTCTTTTCAGTAGCAGGACCGTGGTCTCGGGGCTGCTTTTCTGGGCCATTTTGGGAGGACCGACTTGTCCACCCTAGGTCTATTGTAATCCCCAGTCCCTTCCAACCTCTTTCATGAACAGGCCATGGGAGGAGTCACTTGCCACCTTCTTTTGTCTGCAGTATTTGAAATGGGAATCTCTTCTCCCAGATTCTAGGAGCAAGTTTTCAGGATTAAGCATGTTACTTAACGCCACTAAGAGGTCACAATTTGATGTCAGCCTTGGCAGTTTGATGTGCGGCAGATCCTGCTGCTGTCCCCAAATATCCATCCCCTTTTTTCTTAGTAATTGAAGTCTTGATTTGGAACTGGGCACAAAGCCTCACAGAATACAGTCTGGTTGTCCAAGACTCAGTTTATAGCAAGATGGTGATCATGTGTCTAAGTCCTGGAGAATAAGATGTAAACATCGTTATCATTTGGCAGCTGCTGAGAACTTTACTTAAAAGGTAGCTGTTTTTTGACCTTTGCTTCTTTGTCCCTTCCTCTATCTCACTGACTGAAATACGCATATGATGGCTGGAGCTCTAATTGCCATCCTGAACTGTGAGGATAAGGGCCATATTGTGGAGATAACCAGGTGGTGAAAAAGAAGGAGCCTTCTTGGGGGAGGGCACTAAGGAGCAAAGTCACCAGCCCTAGATTGCCTACCTCTGGACTCACATGTAAAAGAAAAAATATGGAGTTTGTTTTTCTTTTATAGACTGAGTGGTACATTGTTATTTGATTAAAATGCTTTGACTGTGTGTGCATACTGTAAGTTTAAAATAATTAGTCTAGATGATTATTTTAATTTTCTAGTGATTGTTTAAATATGTATGTATTGTTAAAAATGTCTTGTTAAAATCTGAGCTGACCTGAGTGTTTAACATGTATGATGCTCTCATTTATCTCCTTTATTTTTTATTAAAAAGTTTTT